GGGGGGGGGGGGGGGGGGAGAGAGGGGGAGACTTGGCCAGCTCCCGGCAGGCGGGGCTGCTGTGAAATCCTTACTGGTAAGCATCATGGACGGTGGCTCGGGTGTGGTGGCTCAGGGTGTGAATCCATGTCCCTTAACCCTGGCCTCTCAGCCTTGGCACTGGTAACATTCAGGGCTGGATCATTCTCCGTGGCAGGGGCTGTCCTGGGCACTGTAGGGTACAGAGGAGCATCCTTGGCCTCCACCTGATAGATACCACCTCCCCACCCCTAGTCACGACTACCAAAAATGTCTCATGCTCCTGGGTGTGGGGCCAAAATTCTTCTTTAGGCCAGGTGCTGTGGCTCATGCCTATAATCCCAACCCTTTGGGAGACCGAGGCTGGAGGACTGCTTGAGGTCATGAGTTCAAGAACAGTCTGGGCAACCTAATGAGGGCTTGTCTCTACAAAAAACAACAACAACAAAAAGTGAAAACTTAGCCAGAAGTGGTGGCTTGCATCTATAGTCCCAGCTACACTCGAGGCTGAGGCTGAAGGATCGCCTGAACCCAGGAGGTCAAGGATGTGGTGAGCGGTGATTGTGCCACTACACTTCAGCCTGGGCAACAGAGTGAGACTCCCATGCAAACAACAACAAAAAATTCCCCCTCTGTTGAGAGTTTTCTCACCTCTAAAGTGGGGAGAGTCATGGCAGTTACTCAGGCTTATTTACTCAGCCTCCCAAGTAGCTGGGACTATATAGGTGCATGCCATCTTGACACCTAGTTTTTTTGTTGCTTTTTTTTTTTGTAGAGATGGGATCTTGCTATGTTGTCCAGGCTGGTCTTGAACTCCTGGGCTCAAGCAGTTCCTCCACCTCGGCCTCCCAAAGTGCTGGAATTATAGGTATGAGTTACCATGCCTAGCTGAAACTACACTTTGAGTACCCATATAAACATTCTTTTTTTGTTAGAGTCTCACTCTCACCCTACTGGAGTGCAGTTGCCCCTCACGGCTACCACAGCCTCAACCTGCTGGACTCAGGTGATCTTTCTGTCTCAGCCTTCCAAGTAGCTACAACTGTAGGCTCACACCAACATGCCTGGCTAATTTTTTTATTTACTGTAGAGACAAGGTCTTGCCAAGTTGCCCAGGCTGGTACAAACCCCTGGGCTCAGGCAATTCTCTCACCTTCACCTCCCAAAGTGCTGGTATTATAGGTGTGGGCCACTGTGCCTTGGCTTTTTTTGTTTTTTAAATAGAGATAGGACCTCATTCAGTCTCCCAGGCTGGAATGCAGTCGTGTGAAACAGCACATTGCAGCCTTGAACTCCTGAGCTCAAGTGATCCTCCCCGCTCAGCCTCCCGAATAGCTGGGAGTATAAGCATGAGCCACCACACCTGACTACACCCCTCTGTTTTTCTTTTTCTTTTTTTTTTTTTTTTGAGTTGGAGTTTCACTCTGTCGCCCAGACTGGAGTGCAGTGGCACACTCCTGGCCACCACAGCCTCAACCTGCTGGGCTCCGGCGATCCTTCCGCCTCAGCCTTCCAAGTAGCTGGAACTACAGGCGCGTGCTACCACGCTGGGCTAACTTTGTTTTGATTTATTATAGAGATGAGGTTTCACCAAGTTGCCCAGGCTGGTCTTGAACCCCTGGGCTCAGGCATTCCTCTCGCCTCTGCCTCCCAAAGTACTGGAATTACAGGCTAGAGCCACTGCGCCCGACCTGTTCTGAGCACATTTAAGGTAGGCTGGTCTAAGCTATGGCATTCAGTAGGTTAGGTATATTAAATGGTTTTTTATCCTTTTGAGTTGGGGTCTCACTCTGTCTCCCAGGCTGGAGTGCAGTGGCAAGATCACGGCTCACCACAGCCTCTGACTCCTGGGCTCAAGTGATCCTTCTACATCAGCTTTCTGAATTGCTGTAACTACAGGTGTCTACCACCACACCTGGCTAAATTTTTTTTTTGTAGAGATGGGGCTTTTGCTGTGTTGCCCAGGCTGGTCTCGAACTCTCGGGCTCAAGCGATCCTCCCATATCAGCCTGCCATAGTGCTGGATTACAGGCAGGAGCCACTGTGCCTGGCCAAAATGCATTTTTTTACTTAGCATTTCCGGCTTACAATGGGCTTTTCAGAATGTCACCCCATGTGAGTTGAGGAGCATCTGTGGTTGGACTGGAGTGTTAGGGTGTGCCTGGCCAGCAGTTGTGGGCTGCTGGCTTCGGAGCCCTCTCGTCCCACCCCTAGTGCTGTCTTCTAGTGTGCTGGCCTCAGGGAGGTGCCACCGGGCTGGCTGGCCCTGGGGCCTCTCTGAACGGTGGCAGCAGCAGTTGGCACCGTGATGGGAGGAAGCAGGAAGTTGGGTGGCCCGTCTGCAGGAAGGGAGCTCGGCCCTGCAGAACGGAGTGTTCTGACCCTGAAGGGGAAGTCTGGACGAGGGGTTGTGGGCGGGTTGTAGCAGGGCTGGAGTTCCATGGGAGCAGGGCATGCTGCAGGGGCCTCGGGGCGTGGGTGAGCCTGTGGGCCACACCCACTCGGGCAGTGGGAGTTGTGGTGGTGGGCTCTGGAGTGACCTGAATAAGCACTCTGGGCGTTTGCAGATATGTGTATATGCGATAGGTTTGGGCACGCGCACATGCTTGGAGGGATGGGAATGTGCACACACGTGAGACTGTGTTCCGTCACATACACAGGCATGGGAGTGTGCACACATCTGCAGACCTGGGAGCACGCACACACATGAGTCTGTGTTCTGGCATGTGCACACAGGCCTGGGAGTGTGCACACACCTGTGGGCCTGTGTTCCATCCACACCTGAACCTGTGTTCCGGCACCCACCTGCAGGCATGGGGGTGTGCACACATGTGAGCCTGAGTTCTGTGCACATGCCTACATGTATTGGAAGTATGTGCACACCCAGGTCAGCCCCTGGGGCCTCTGTCCCCTCATGGGAGTCTGTTCACCACATACACACCGTGTGTGTGAGTGCACACACCGCCTGCACTTGGACATCCTCTTGGTACAGGGAGCGAGGACTGTCCCTGTCCTACCTCTGGAGGAGCAGGCTTGGCCCTGGAGGTGGGGCTCAGGGGAAGGCCCCCAGATGCCCCGGAGCTGGCCTGGCGCAGGGGCTGCTGGGAGCTGGCAGGAAAGAGGAAGTGGCCGCCGAGAGGCCCTAGCAGGGCTGAGGTTCAGGAAGAGGGCGGGGCCCCCAGCCCGGACCCAGGATGGCGGAGGCTGATCCCCCTTCGGAGCAGGAGCTGGAGGTGGAGTCTGGGGTCCCCGGGGGGCAGGCAGGAGGTCCCAGGTGACTCAGGCCTAGGCCCTGTGCTGGCGCCTCTGGGCTTGGGACCCAGGAGAGGTGATGGGATCCTATGTGGAGGATGGCAGTGTCCGGTGCCCTTCAGGTCTCTCAGTTGGGGAGACAGAGGACAGACCCGGCCTCTGCTCTCCGGCTGTGGAGGAAGCAGGAGGGAGAAGGGAGCCCTCAGGACTCTGTCCTTGGGGTGCAGCAGTGAGAAGACAGGCCTGCTCTCAAGGGTCCACAGTTTGAGGGTTTAACCAGGGGAAGGTGGGGCCTGCCCTCAGGATCCCCTGGTTTGGGGGAGGGCAGTGGAGAGCAGGTGGTGTCTTCCCTTGCACCCCCTAGTTGGGGGGCAGCAAAAGGGAGACCGGGCCTGGTCTCAAGGCCCCCTCATGTGGGGCACAGTGGTGGGTGATGGGCCTCCCCTCCAGAGTGCCTCCATATTCGACCCAGATGAAGAGGGTCCAGGATGTACCTGTCCAGGGGTCTCCTAGTTTGAGAGGATAGGGAAGGCAGAAGGCGCCCTCGGTGCCTCCCAGTTTGGGGCAGTCAGGAACTGGACAGGGCCTCGTCTCCCCTCCCAGTCTGGGGGGTCAGAGAAGGTGGAGCAGGTGCTGTCCTGGGAGCTGGAGGCCGGCAGGGAGGCTGGGACAGAGGCCAGCGCAGAGGCTGGGACGGAGGCTGGGCAGCGGCCGGGCCAGGCTGGCTGCGTGGGGTCTGTGCCCAGAGCCCTCTGGGCCCTGCTGACTCCACCCCATCCCCACAGAGCGAGCCACACAGCTGGTCCCTGCTGGAGCAGCTGGGCCTGGCAGGGGCGGACCTGGCGGCCCCCGGGGTGCAGCAGCAGCTGGAGCTGGAGCGGGAGCGGCTGCGGCGGGAGATCCGCAAGGAGCTGAAGCTGAAGGAGGGCGCCGAGAACCTGCGGCGGGCCACCACCGACCTGGGCCGCAGCCTGGGCCCCGTGGAGCTGCTGCTGCGGGGCTCCTCGCGCCGCCTGGACCTGCTGCACCAGCAGCTGCAGGAGCTGCACGCCCACGTGGTGCTGCCCGAGCCTGCGCCCCACGGTGAGCCGAGGGGTGCTGGGTGCGGCTCCCCTGCCTCTCCCTCCCCACCAGCCTGGAGGCTTGCCTGGCCATGGCCACTGCAGCCTGAGGGGGGCAGAATGAGTGCCAAGACCCACGTGGCCTCCAGCACCCAGGGAGGGGCGCACACAGCCTCCTAGGCCCTGACCACACTCGGAGATGCACAGGGTGTCCCGCGGGGCCTAAGGTACAGTCGCCAAAAGCCAGGTGACACTCAGATACTCAGGGTGTCCCACAGGCACCTGAAGACACAGCCATCCCAAAACCCAGACAATGCCCAAAGACGTCCACATCACCACACGGATACCCGGGAGTCACACCGCCACACCATCGCCTGGAGTTCTGAACTCAAAGTTGTATCAACATGCAGAGCACCACCCGGGCGCCCAGGCTTCAGACAGGCACTATGACACCTGTGTCTCACATCTGCACACCCTGTGGTTCACACACTGCACTGCTTCCACACCTGGGGGCTCACACACACAGTCACAACAGCGCAGAGGACGCACATACTCCCGCACGCTGGCCGAGCCCGTTCGTCCTGGGCCTTGTTCCAGCCCGGAGGGGTTGCCCTGGGAGGCCGGGTGAGTCCACACCTGCTGGGTCTTGGTGTCTCCCGCCTGCCTGTCTGCTGGCCTCCAGCTTTTCTCCTCCCAAGCCCTGGGGGCAATGCCCAGACCAAGATCAGAACAGCCTCCCTGTCAGACTGAGGTGGTGACCCCGGTGACTATCTCCCACCCATCCCCTCCAGATGCCCCCCAATCCCCGGGCACTGGCGACCCTGCCTGCTCAGCCACCAACCTGAACCGCGTGGCAGGCCTGGAGAAGCAGCTGGCCATCGAGTTGAAGGTGAAGCAGGGCGCCGAAAATATGATCCAGACCTACAGCAATGGCAGCACCAAGGTGGGCAACGCGCGTGCGCACCCTCAAGTGCACACATGCACATGTACGCACCTACAGAAATGTGTGTACATCCTACATGTGCACACACCTACCCACAACCACATGAATGTGTACACACCTTGCATGTACACACACCCTGCATGTGCACATACCTGCATGTGCATGCACCCACACAAATGTGTACACACCCTGCAGGTGCACAAAGCCACCTGCACGTGTGCACACCTGCACACAGGAATGTACACACACCCCACATGTGTGCATACTTGTACATGCATGCATCCACATACACATGTACACACCCTGCACTTGCACACACCTGTATGTACATGCACCCACTTGCTTACACACAAACCTGTACATGCACACACCCATCCAAATGAATACAAACACCGCACATGCGTGCACACCTGCACGTGCATGCACCCCCCTGCATGCACACACCCACACAAATGCATGCCCACATCGGCATGTGTACACCCATTACATGTGCATATGCCCGTATCCACTGATGTTGTACAGACATGCACGCACACCTGTACATGCACACACCCACCCATGAACATGTACACACACCTGAGTGTGCACACAGCTGCGCATACAACCATGCTTGTACAGACCTACATGTGCACACATGTACCAGCATATGTATAAACTTGCACACCACATGTGTACTCACATCTGCACGCACACCCAGAGTGCACGCTTACCTACTGGTGTGCCTGCCCACAGCTGCACATGCGCCTGCTGACTTCTACACAGCTGCACGACATACCTGTGAGCCCATTACAGGCTGGAACGCAAGGTACAGCCTACAGCTGCCCCCCGTGGGAGCCCGGGACTCCGGGTTGAGGAGAGAGAGGCTGACAAGTGACTTGGTGGCAGGACTAGGGCACAGGCAGCTTATGGGGACATAGAGAAAGCAGGGTGACTGTAGGTGACATCAGACAGACTCACGACAGAGATTGTCTTCCCTCCCTGCTCACACAGCCCTCCCCCGAGACTCAAGGCATTCGTAGTCAGGGCAACACACAGCCTCTCGCTGCTGAGGGTGTCTCCTGACACACATACACAGTCATGTCAACACCTTGGCACACATGCCATCATCATGACATCTGGAGACACGTGAGCAGTCATGATGTCTAGAGACACGACACTTAGCCATGCACAGAGAGTTACCACCAGAGCCATGTCTAGACACCCACACACACATACCCCCTCTGTCACATTCATACCCAGAGACTGGCACACATGGACACACAGTCCCTAGTCCAGCCAACCCTGGGGACACACACACAGGTCCTCACTCCAACGAGCACAGCCAGATCTATAGTTTGAGACTCAGCATCCAGAGAACCCATGGCTCACGTGTGTACACACCAGTGTGAATGGCACACAGGAGGACAGACCACACAGGTTATTTTGTACTTTTTTCTTTTCTTCTTCTTTTTTTTTTTTTTTGAGTTGGGGTCTCTTTCTGTCACCCAGGCTGGAGTGCAGTGGCACGCTCAAAGCCACTGCAGCCTCCACCTGGCGATCCTTCTGTCTCAGCCTTCCAAGTAACTGGATCTACAGGCATGCACCACCATGCCTGGCTATTTTAAAAATTTATTGTAAAGACGAGGTCTCGCCCAGTTGCCCAGGTGGGTTTCAGACTGGTGGCTCGGGCCATCCATTTACCTCAATCTCCCAAAGTGTTGGGATTATGGGCTTGAGCCACCATGCTCTGCCTTTTTTCTTTTTTTCTTTTTTTGAGTTGAGATCTCACTCTGTCTCCCAGGCTGGAGTGCAGTGGCACCATCAAGGCTCAACACAGCCTCTACTTTCTGGGCTCATGGGATCCTCTCTCCTCAGCCTCCCAAGTAGCTGGGCCCACAGGCATGCACCACCACAACCTGGCTAATTTTTTTTGGTAGAGACCAGGTCAAGATGTTCTCGAACCCCTGGACTCAAGCAATCCTCCTGTGTCAGCCTCCCAAAGTGCTGGGATAATAGACCTGAACCACTGCACCTGGCCCATTATTTTACCTTTCGTTGAGGTGTAGTGTACTCAGAGTTCAGGCAGTGCAGGTGCACAGTGTGATGAAGTTGTCCCTGTGTGTGTACCATGCACATCAAAAAGCAGGACGTTTCCAACCCCCCAGAAAGTTCCTTCATGCCTCCTCCAGTTGGTACCCAGACTTCTGGGAATTGAGGACCACAGACTCACTTTGCATGATTTTAAATTTCTTTTTTTTTTTTGAGTTGGAGTCTCACTCTGTCGCCCAGACTGGAGTGCAGTGGCCGCTCCTGGCCACCGCAGCCTCGACCTGCTGGGCTCCGGCGATCCTTCCGCCTCAGCCTTACGAGTAACCGGAACTACAGGCGCCCGCTACCATGCCTGGCTAATTTTTTGATTTATTGTAGAGATGAGGTCTCGCCAAGTTGCCTGGGCGGGTCTCAAACCCGCGGGCTCAGGCAATTCACTCACCTCGGCCTCCCAAAGCGCGGGATTACAGGCTGAGCCACCGAGCCCGTCCTGGCTTTAAATTTCATAGAGCTAGAATTGTACAGTGTCCTCTGTCCCCATTCCGATGTGCACGTGGATTGCTTTGGGAACACCCACTGGGACCTGAGGACTCCTGGTAATGCCACAGCTCCCAACTTCCATGACCTCCGCACCGGGGGTAGTCTCTCCCCACAGCTCATTCCTGGGGGTCACATGGTTTGTCTGCATGGCGAGGTGAGGACACCGGCCCCAAGATCACTGCGTTCTAGTCACCCCACCTCAGACACAGTGTCTGTGTGCCAGGCACAGAACAGGCGCTGATCCCCGTGCTTGCCAGGGAGACAAAAATACATACTTAAATCTGATTAGATGTTTCTCAACCGTGTTTTCAGTATCGTTCCCCTAGGGGGCCTTTTTCAGACATTTTTTTTCCCAGTCACCCCATGTGGTAAAATACCCATGACATAAAATGTACCACGTCAACCATTTTGAAGTGTGCAATCCAGTGTCCTTGAATACACGCATAGCTTTGCCCAACCACCTCCTCCATCTCACTGCAGAACATTTCATGACCCCAAGCAGATCAGGTACCCATTAGCAGTCACTCTGATTCCCCTCCCCCAGGAACTGCTAATCTACTTTATGCTGAATGGATTTACCTGTTCTGGACGTTTCGGATAAATCCATGTGGCCTTTTCTGTCAGGCTTCTGTCATTCAGCACAATATTTCTGAGGTTCATTTGCATTGTCGCCTGTGTCAGAACTTCATTCCTTTTAAGGGCTGAGTAATATCCCACGGTATGGGCCAGGTTTGGTGGCTCACACCTGTAATCCCAGCACTTTGGGAGGTGGAGGTGGGAGAATTGCCTGAGTCTAGGAATTCGAGACCAGCCTGGGCAAAGTAGCAAAACTCCATCTTTACAAAATAAAGAAATAAATGAATAAATATCCTGTTGTATGGATATATCACATTTTGTTTACCTCTTTATCAGTTGATGGACCCTTGAAGTTTTTCTGCCTTTTGGCTACTATGAGTAGTGCTGCTGTGAACATTTGTGTACAAGTGTATATGTATGTGTTTATTTTTTGAGTCGGGGTGTCTGTGGCCCAGGCTGGAGTGCGGTGGCACAATCACGGCTCACTGCAGCCTCAATTTCTTGGGCCCAGGCCATCCTCCCACCTCAGCCTCCCAAGTAGCTGGGTCTACAGGTGAGCACCACCATGCCTGGCTAATTTCTTTTTTATTTTTGTAGAATGAGGTCTTGCTACATCATCCAGGCTGGTCTCGAACTCCTGAGCTCAAGCAGTTCTCCCACTTCAGCCTCCCAAAGCGTTTGGATTATAGACATGAGCCGCCACGCCTGACCCTGTGTACAAATTTTTAAACACCATCCTACCAAATGTTGAAACAGATCAACCGTATATTTCTCTATGTATTTCTGTGCATTATACACAAAACAGAGATTTTCACGCCCAATTTTTGCCCTCTGGAGGTGATACTACCCAGTTGAATATGAGCAGAGTGGATGTAAATGTCTTGCAGTGTCTTATCAGAAGGTTCACATGGCACAAAGTGGATGGAAAAACCCACAACCGGCCTGCAGCATGTGTGCACACACAGGGTTGTGGGCTGGGCCAGGTGTGGTCCCAGTTGCATCCTGCACACACACAACCAGTCCCCTGTAGCTGTCGACTGTCTCACATACCCACCCCTTCCCCTTGGCGGCTCACCTACACGCCACAGGGACCTCACCCACGTGTGTGCCGTGCCAGCAGCTGATGCGGATTCAGGCCCACTGGTGCCAGGCACGGCTCCGAGCCCAACACAGATTAGCTCCTTCAGGCTCCATCCCATGGAAGCTGGAGACATCAGTCGTCTGGTTCTGCAGATGAGGAAATTGAAGCCCAGAGGGGACACGTGGCTTGCCCGAGGTCACACAGCCATTCAGTGGCAGAGCCAGGATTCAAACCCCATGCATTATATCACTGTGCCCAGGATGGCATGGAAGAAGCTCCTCCCCTCCACAGCACAGTCACATGGGTGCCTGGCACCCGCGCAGTGCACTCAGCAGGGCCAGTGGCCAGATCTTAGCTACCTCGCCCCCCTCTCATGGACCGTCTCTGATCCCAGGACCGGAAGCTGCTGCTGACAGCCCAACAGATGCTGCAGGACAGTAAGACCAAGATCGACATTATCCGCATGCAGCTCCGCCGGGCACTGCAGGCTGGCCAGCTGGAGAGCCAGGTGGCCTCGGACGAGACCCAAGGTGAGTCCCTCACCCTGAGACTGCCAGGCCTGCATCCCGCCTACCAGGGCTCAGCCACCGGCCCCACAAAGGTACTCTTTCTGGGATAGGGAGGTGGTTCCTGTGACTCAATGTGTGACTAGAACCCATCCCTGGCCCTCTCTGGGCCTGAGTTTCCCATTTTGTCCCATGCAAGGTTTGGACTAGACCAGGGGTTGGCAAACTACCACATGCAGGCCAGATGCACCTGCTGTCTGGTTTTGTAAATAAAGTTTTATTGGCACACAGCCATGCCTATTTGTTTGCTGTGGTCCATGACTACTTTACACACTGACAGCAGAGCTGAGGAGTGGCCATAAAGCCTGTGTGGGCCACAGTGTCGAAGATATTTGCTGTTTGACTCTGCAGAACTGTGTGGACCCCTGGACTAGATGGCTGTTTTGTCACCTTGACCTCTGTGTGTGTGTGTGTGTGTGTGTGTGTGTGTGTGTGTGTTTCTGTTTGTGTGTACAAATGCCTGGGGTTGTCTCACAAACTGAGTGTGTTGAGATTATCCACCTGAATTTGTGACAGGGTCTTGGTGTGATGTGTGCCAGACTGATTGTGCCCCTACTATCCATGTGTGTCAGTATTAACATGACTGTGGGGACCAGGGTGTATACATATGCCCTTGTAACTGTGAGAGTTTCTGTGTCACCATGAGAGATGACATCAGGACATCAGCTATTTTTTTGGTGGGGGGAGTCAGAGTCTCACTCTGTCATCCAGGCTAGAGTGCAGTAGTGTGATCACAGATCACTGCAGCCTCCACCTCCTGGGCTCAAGTGATCCTCCTGCCTTAGCTTCCTGAGTAGCTGGGACTGCAGGTATATGCCACCAGGTCCAGCTAATATTTTTATTTTTTGTAGAGACAAGTTTTCGCTATGTTACCCAGGCTGGTTTTGAACTCCTGGGCTCAAGCGATCCTCCCACCTCAGCCTCCCAAAGTGCTGGGATTACAGGCATGAGCTACCATGCCCGGCCAACATTGGCTGTTGATAGGGCTTGTAACTCAGGTGACAATGTGTCTGTCTTGGGGTGTGTGTGTCAGTGTGATTGTGTGTCTGTTCTGTGGATACCTACCCATGTGAGCATCTCAGTAACTGGGTGTGAGAGTGTGCCTGTGTCCCTTTGCTTCTGGGTATAGTTGTGACCATGGATGACAGGTGACTTTATCTCTAGAAGTCTCAGTTATTGAGTGTTGTGTAATAGCAGGCCTAGGGGTGAGGGTGCAGCTGTGTTGTAAGACTGTGAATATCAGCATCTCTATGAATTTGTGTCTGCATTGTTGGTGTCCACGTGAGTACCACACATCTGCTGGCACAGTGTGACTGTGTGTGACTGTCTATGACAAAGTGTCAGGGACTGAGTAGGGGTCATTACAGGTAGAACAATGAGACTGTCTTGGGAACACATAACCATGTGTAAGTGTGACTTATGGGTGACAAATTTTCCTACACCTGGCTTGTCCCAGTGTCCTTGTGCCATGCTCTGTGTCATTGGGTGACTGTGTCCTGGGTTGGGCAGTCATTGTATCCCTGTGGCTTCACACTTGGGTGTGACACCCAGTCTTTTTTTTTGTTTTTTGAGTTGAAGTCTCACTCTGTTACCCAGGCTGGAAGGCAGTGGCATGCTCCCGGCCACCGCAGCCTCGACCTGCTGGGCTCCGGCAATCCTTCCGCCTCAGCTTTCCAAGTAGCTGGAATTACAGGCGTGTACTACCATGCCCAGCTAATTTTTGATTTATTGTAGAGACAAGATCTTGCCAAGTTCCCCAGGTGTGTGTCGAACCCTTGGGCTCAGGCAATCCTCTCGCCTAGCCTTCCAAAGTGCTGGGATTACAGGCTGAGCCACTGAGCCTGGCCGACACCCAGTCTTTTTCCTTGTGATGTTGGGTCTCTGTGCCTGTGGGTATTGATGATACTGTCCTGCTTGTGTGACAGTGTGGTGGCATTTCTTCTCTTGTCCTTGTGCCTTCCATATGACAGTGTGGTTATGCCCCTCTTCTCCCTGGGCTGGAGTTAGAGCCCTGGGTCTTTTGCCTTAGGATGGCTATGTCTCTTTTCTTGACTCTGCTTTATAAGGGCGTTTGTGTCTTGTGACCATGTCCTTCAACCCCTGTAATGGTGGTGACAGGGCTGTGTCTATATGACCACAGAACATGATCTATGTGACAGTGTCCCTATGTGGCAGTATGACTGCATCATTGTGACAGAGTGTGTATTCCTCTGCCTGCAGGTGACAGTGTGCCTACACTGGTGACATTGTGTCCCGTGGACAACAGTGTGACAATGTCTGTGTGACAGTGTCTGTCTTAGTCTATTTGGGCTGGCATAAAAATGTTTCATAGGCCGAATGGCTTAAACAAAATTTATTTTCTCACAGTTCTAGAGACTGGAAGTCTGGGATCAGGGTGCCAGCATGTTTGCTCTCCTGGCCACCTTCTCGCTCTGTTTTCACATGGTGTCTCCTCTTTTCATAAGAACACTAATCCCATCATGAGGGTGTTTCCCCATGAATTCATCTATCCCTACTCACCTCCCAAAGGCCCTACCTCTAAATATCATCCCATCGGGGGTCAGGGCTTCCGCATGAATTTCGGGGACAGAGACCTTCAGTCCCTAACAGTGTCCTTGTGGCTGACACCAGCTGTGTGATAGTGTGATTGTTTCTGTGTGGCTGTCCAAATGCCCATGAGTGTCACTGTGCCTGGTTAACAGTGTAACTGCCTGATGTTGACTGTTCAGTGGGGAGTGAAGTGTGTCAGCATTTGTATGTCAGTATGATTTATTTCCCTCTCTATGTGGGTTGTTGACAGTCCCTGGGTGAAAAATGTGACGGTTCCTGGGTGACAGTGACTGAAGCTACATGTGACTGTCACTGTCGGTCACAGTGGGCCCGAGTCTGTCTCTGGGATGAAGAGGAACTGTGACAATGTGCCTGTCCCTAAGCCCAGGCTGACAGTGTGCCTGTGTATCATTGCTGTAACTGTCCCTGAGTGACAGGGTAACTTTGTCCCTGGGGCTGCAACTGTGGGCCGTAGTGTTTGGATAAGAGTGACTGCATCTGGGTGGAAGTGGGGCTGACCGCCTTGGGTGACAATGTGACAAGTGTCGCTGTGATTGCCCCTTGGGAGAAACGCGATGTATCTTGGTGATGACCTGTCCATGGCTGGTGCCTGTTTCTGGGGGTGCCCAGGTTTCTGGGACCAGACTGGGGGGGGACTGCGGGCTAGCCTCACTGCCTCGTCCTCCACGCTCACAGACGGTCCAGACTTGGGCGCCGTGGAGCTCCGCATAGAGGAGCTCCGGCACCACTTCCGAGTGGAACACGCCGTGGCGGAGGGCGCCAAGAACGTCCTGCGCCTGCTCAGCGCTGCCAAGGCCCCGGATCGCAAGGCGGTCAGCGAGGTGAGGGGCGGGGCCTCGGCCAGGGGCGGGGGGTTCGCCAGGAATGGCCTTGGGAGGGGCGGGGCCTCGCGGGGCGCGGCCTTGTCAGGGGGTGGGGCCTCCGCCGGGAGGGGTCATTGTGAGAGGCGGGCTTTGTTGAGGGAAAGGGCCTTCATCAGATACTGTCACAGCCAGGGAGTGGGTCTCAAAGGGGGCGTGGCCTTCACAAGGGGTGGTGCCTCAGCTGGGAGGGGTCACTGTCAAGGGCGGGGCCTCAGCCCGGGGAGAGGGAGGATTTCCCCAGGAATGGCCGTGGAAGGGGTGAAGCCTTAAGGAGGTGTGGCCTTGACAGGGGGTGGGGCCTCCACCCCGGTGGGGGGCGGAGCCTTATTCAGAAGCCGTCACGTGAGGGGTGGATCCCAAAGGGGGCGTGGCCTTTACAGGGGGTGGGGCCTCACCCTGGAGAGCCCACTGTGAGGGGCGGGGCCCCACCCAGGTACGGACTCCTGGGGCTTCGGCTAGAGGCTAGGTCTGGTTTCCAGGTAGCATAGTGATGGGAGCAAGTTGATTTGAGGTTTCGGTCTCTAGGGCAGGGGTATGCAATCCCCGGGCCGCGGCCGGGCACAGGTCTGTGGCCTGTTAGGAACTGGGCTACACGGCAGAAGGCGAGCAGCTAACGAGCGGAGCTCTGCTTCTGTCAGATCCACAGTGGCATTAGATTCTCATAGGAGCGCGGACCCTGTTGTGAACTGCACTTATAAGGGATCTGGATTGCTGCTCCTTTTGAGAATCTGATGCCTGATGATTCCCCCCGCCCTGGCGGAAGAATTCTTTCCCACAAAACCGGTCCCTGGTGCCAGAAAGGTTGGCCATCGCTGCTCTAGGGAGAAGGAACCCAAGGCGGGACATAGCCGACCTGGGGGTTTGACCTAGGTATGCGCTTGCGGAGGGGCAAGCCCAGGCCTGTCCCCAGTCCCACCTTCCCGCCGCAGGCCCAGGAGAAGTTGACAGAGTCCAGCCAGAAGCTGGGGCTGCTACGGGAGGCCCTGGAGCGGAGGCTCGGGGAGCTGCCCGCCGACCACCCCAAGGGGCGGCTGCTGCGTGAAGAGCTCGCCGTGGCCTCATCTGCCGCCTTCAGCGCCCGCCTGGCTGGGCCCTTCCCTGCCACGCACTACAGTACCCTGTGCAAGCCCGCACCCCTCACAGGTGGGTCTGGGGCCTCCCCCACTCCGAGCCCTGAGCCCTGAGCCCTGAGCCCAGATCTCCACTCTCCCCGGCCCTGGACTCCCAACCAACCCCCTCCGCCGTCTAGTAGACAACCCTTTAGACCCTGGATTTCCTGACATCCTTTTCCTTGGGTCTGGGCTCTTGCTCCGCCCCCCTCCTCAGTTTCCCCACCTCCCCACCTGACCCTGCTTGTTCCTCCAGCCACATTCTCCCCACCCTGAACCTCTGCTGTCTCCAGGCCACCTTGCTGAGACCCTTCAGCCCCTACCCCTCCAGGCCAGCCCCACCCTAGACTCCCACCTTAGACCTCATCTTAGACCTCAGATTACCCCACCAAATCCTATCCTAGCCCTATCCTGTTCCTCCTTGCCTGGACTCCAGGCTTCAGCCCTGAATCTCTCTTCTACCCCTAAACTCTGGCATCTAGATCTCCTACATGCCAAGATCACTTTTTTTTTCTCCCCCAAGTCAGATTCTCACTCTGTTGCCCAGGCTGGAGTGCAGTGGCACAATAATCACGGCCACCGCAGTCTCGACCTGCTGGCCTCAGGTGATCCTTCCACCTCAACCTTCCAAGTAGTTGGGACTGCAGGCACTCGTTACCATGCCTGGCTTATTTTTTGATTTATTATAGAGATGAGGCCTCACCAAGTTGCCCAGACTAGTCATAGAACCCGTGGGCTCAGGCAGTCCTCTCACCTCGG